ATGAAAACTACTCTACAACAATCATCATGTTTGATTCCTTAAGAAGCCTTAACGAACTGTTAAACGAACGAAGCTTCTTGAATAATTATTTCCGCCTTTTCATTCTTCCTAAACATAGACCCCCTTGTATAAGTATTCTGGGGTGGTGATGTGGCTTGCGTATTATGAAGCGTAGATCTATGCTGGAAATTTACCTGACAGATCCAAACTGGTCCATGAGTAGGAACCAGACAAAACCATAGTCACCTAGTGGACCAAATTTTAATGATGAAACCCTGGAGTGTGTAGCAGTTCTATAGTTGTTTAAATAGGCAAGCATCTGACACAGTGATTTGATATGCAGTGATCGATAGCGAATAATAAGCGACACTCTCAACTACAACGGTACGAATCAAGCAATTCCAGTTTAGCTGAAGACTGAAGTTAGGAGTAGAAACTTTGACTACTAGTATCGGATCATACTTACAATGTAAACATGAAATCAATTAGTCAACAGCATTACTAGTAAATTCAAATGTTTAATCATATCACCTCGTGCAAGGTAGATAAAGCCGCTAAGGCACAAGGATGTAATGAGTATGAAACATTATTAAAAAAAAAGAGAAACATTTTTAAGGAGCGAGAACAATAGTAGAGTAATCAAGAAGACATTAGATAAAGATTGACATTGCATTTAAATTTTTAAAGATCAAAGTTGGCTGGAAAGCATGGGCCCGGAAGAGAGCTCCACAAGCGAGAAATACGATAGAAGAAACTGTTAACATAGAACTTACGGTTACATCTAATCATTTCAATTGTAAAATGATGAGACCTTGCTGCCAATCTAGTGTTGCGCTTATATTCATAAAGTCTAGGTACCATAACAAAGAGTTACCACGAAAGATTACCATGAGACTATTTATAGAAAAGCCACAGGGAAGCTACGGTGAGAGGGTAACTGAAGCCGAAATGTCAGGTAATGATTAATAATATTGCTGATACGTGTTTGGATTTTTATCGCTTAGAGCATGAACAAATAAATAGGTAGGATAGATTCACGAGAGAAAATTGTCTCGCATGAAACATTAAATCATCATTCTTAGCTGCAGATCTAGCAAAATATCTAATATAATCTTTCCATTTCATGTCAGCCTAGAATCCTAGCCTGAGAAGAAGCACCGAATCACTTTCATGGAAGTTAGTATCAATCATGCTAATGTGTGGGGGGGGGAGGAGGAGGAGGAGGAGGAAGGATTGCATCAGGTTATTAATAGAAAGAAGTTTCACTTTGGAGGCGTTAAAATTAACAAGCCGTTCCTTGCTCCAGTTGACAGCAGATTGTAGGTCGTTTTTTTTTTTAGATAAGCTGCCAGTTTGACCTTATTGAACTGAACAGAACATCGATAGAGAAGAATGGAAAAAAAAGGAATTAATGGGGTTCGATTCCGCCCCAAGACAAAGAAAGGGACAATCGTATAAGCAAAAGAGAACACTGCAATTTTCAGAAAATTCCAAGAGGATATTTTCCATACCCTCTTCCATGTCTTCAATATTCTCGGACAGATAAATATCTTAGCTACCTGCCAAATCAATTTTTTTTTTTTTTACAAATTCATGTTTCTTTTAACCTACGAAATTTAACAAAAAATTAATTATGAAAAGATTTAATCTGAGAGTTTGAAAACAATCTGCTCTGTATATTGCAATGATTTTCTATTTTAATAAATTATTCGAAATGGGTTGAACAAAATATATATCTTCAACAGATTTCAACCATTTTCTTTATTTATTAGTTTTTCCCAAAATAAGGTTAATGAAATTTTTGTGGTTTCAATTGGTAGGCTTCCCAGCCATCTTCAGTTGTATATTGCATCCAGTAATCCTTACTTTTTACTTTGAATTTTGCTCTCGTCAGCGACAAAGAATGAGCGTGAACGTAAGCTTAGGTTTCGAAGCAGTGACAGTAGTGTTTTCGGTTCCTAACACAAGCAACAAGTGTAGTTAACTTTGAATGCCTAATGGGACATGAAAATGTCAGATGATCCGATGTGGAGTGGACAAACTATATGCAAGCGTGAAATACAACTACCCAAAGATTATGGCCACATCACGTTGCAACACCGGTTCCCGTATGGTCCTCGAAGTTAAGGAACGTCGAGCCTGGCCAGTATCTAGATGGGTAACATGCGCTGCAAGCTTGGATGTGCGGGTGGTGTAATGTAGCCGTGTTCCAATTTCCCGTTTGGGTTCGTTATAACACTTACGCGCAAATAAAATTGGGAAAGGGTATAAAACCGCTTATTTTCCTAGTAGTTATAGGTTAATTAGTAACACTTTTATCACTAAACCATTACTATCTGCAAAAAAAAAAAAAAAAAAAAATCTTACAATCTAAAATTGTTTTCTGGCTTTAAATAACCTAAAAGGGTTGATAAGCCGTCGAAAACTAATCAATGAATCATTTAAAAAAAAAAGAAGCAATTACCCAAAGATTGTTGTAACAACGAATATCAGACAAAATATGATACAACAAGAAAGAAAGACCTTAAGAAATGGTTATCATTGACACACAAATTTGAATGATTCATAGATCGACATAGCACTGCGCTGCACCGCGATTTTTTTGGATGAGACAGAAAAGGTTCATACAAAATAACTGCTTTTATACTGATGGTTCTATGTGGAGTTTTATCAAGTAAGCATATATTATCTATTATATCCTTCACGTTTACTCCATTATATCTATGTAAAGATAGTGTAACTGTTAGCGAATCGGGAAGAGAAATCGAGGATCCGTGTTCGACTTCCAGTCAAGTCAGTTACGTTCACATTTGTACAAAAACCTTTAAGAAAGGTATAAACCCATCTCTTCTCCTCTCAGCCCAGTATTAAATAGCAGTATTAAATCTCTTGCCTTGAAGGGGCAATCAGTATATAAAAAGGAAAATTGTGAGTTGAAAAACCGCCTGAAAGGGTCTGGCCTACATTCGGCTCTCTTGCCCTAGATACATTAGTGCTGGTATGGTTGCAGTACACATGGCTTCCTTACAACCTTGGTGGGTTACAGGACTTGTGGATATCAAGATTATAACAACAGAACGATTTGTGAAGACAATAGAGATACACTGAAATAGGGAATGTAAGACACTGCAATTAAAATCATATATTCATTTACGTTCATATTTAGATATATTAATAGGTATTAGCATAATCGGGAGTGAAGCCACAGTGGTGGTTCTATATTTACAACGAAGAATAAGGTAGAAAAATTACTATGTAATGTTGTTTATTACTATGCAAATAAAGCATTGTTATGAACATTACTAGATTACTTTGCCAAGCAGTCTCCGCCTTGGTTGATGCATTTGTCTCATTTGGTACATGAGCTCGTAAATACACTCCCCATTGAATATGGAGTTAATCTACTGGGACAAAACTTGATCTTTGTAACATCAGTGCCATCTATGTGGAACTTCTCCCCGGACAAATCTCTTTTAACGAGTCGATAATCATTTGAAGGAGTAAAGAATGCATCCACTGTTAACTAACTCTTGTCTCTTATAGCTCAAACTTCAGTATTCTCGAAGAAAGTCGAAAATCAGAAGCTTCAAAACCTTGGATAGATTGAAAGAAAATGATCGTCGAAAAATACCTGGACTTCGGGATGCGTGCATAAACATATAAAAACAAGGATCACGATACAAGGAAAGTGGTAATTACAATCGGAAAGCGACATAGGAAATTTCTAGGGCTCATAATAAGGAAAGAAGTCCGGAAGAATTTAAAACCTAGGGACTGTATTAAAGTATATAGAAAAAGAGGAGACTGCTAGTAACCCTTATTTAATGATGTTGCGCAAAAGGATTTCAGAATGGACATAGAAGGGTAGTAAAAGTCAAGCGCTACTTTGAGCAGCAAAAAGAAGATGTCATATAGGGGCAAGATCGTATACGAAAGTATGAGGCGTATAAATGAAGAACAATATAATGAGGAAAGAAGGCCAGGGAAAGATAAAACTCAGAGGCTGTATTGAAGGACATGGGAAAAGAGGAGGCAGCAAGTAACCGCTATTTAACGACTCTGTGCGAATGGATGCGTAATCCTGCTAAATGACAAGCAAACAGACAAAAAGTGGTACATGCCATATTGCTGGGATGTTATTTGATTGTATCTACCACATAAGGCCGTGTACTCAGTTCAATGAATCAAAATGGCTTCAAAGACCACAACGCCTGAAGATTTCCAAAAAGCAGCAACAATTCATATGGATAGCACAAGTAAGTTGCGGGTAGGCGCCGCGATGTGATCACCATCATCATCATCATAATCCGACCAAAAGAGTCTGGGAGGATATCCAATAATGATAATAAAGAGCTATTATAAAAACAAAATGGAAGCACTGTAAGTAACGTTTGTCGGTGTGGAAAGTGAATTCGTTGATCCAAAGTTCAAATTTCGGACGATTCTGTTTCACGCTGATGCAATTGGAAAAGGTAGGAATCCATCGTCCGCCAACAACTTTTAAAATCTTGGTGTAGATTTATGTGCATGTGTATAAAATGCATGAAATTTAGTCCTATTTGTATTTTAGGAAGGTAGCCGTAGCACCCTAAATCTATTCTTTAAAAAAAAATAGTACTGTTCATGAAGAAAATCCTCTTAATTTTGCGTAGCAACAACAAAAAAAAAAAAATGGATATCACATGCGACTCAATGAGAAAATAATGACATAATCTAGATGTTGACTTTCGAAACTACCGGAAACAAAAGGTTAGGAATGAACTCCCATCAACAGTAGAACTAGCTATAACAGTGAACTCGAGAAAGCTTTTTTTTTATCCTGAGAAAGGAAGATATTTTATGAATTTTATCCAACAGTAACGCTAACTGTACGCCAATGACTGCTTAATGTTTCCTGTATGGAGATCGTTAATCTCACCATGACTATAGTCTTGGTTTCCTTCCTTCAAATTCTTATCTATTTGGTCTCTTCAAAAGACATTTATATTGAAGGCGTTATTATGTTGTTGTTGCAGAGGTTCACAGATGGTTCCAGTCGTTCGACGCCACGTTCTTCGAGGAGCGTGCAGCGATTGAACATATGCATCAATCTAGATAGTAATGTATATAGCATATCTAAAATGTTTTGTTTGTATAGTAGTAAATATGATGGATGTTTGGGGTGTATTATTGTTCACGGCTTCGATAAAGAAAGCTTCGAAGCGGGTTCGAATTCCAACCGAATTTCTTACGTTCCCTTTTGCATAAATAGTCTTGGAATAAGCATGGACTTGATTTGATTATTTTAGGCCCAGTACACCTGCACAAAAAAGTCTTTTATCTTTCCTCATAAACATAAAACAAAAAAGAGCCCAGCAAATGAAACCTTTTATTCTCTCCGTCTATAGATTTAACAGCAGAGTGAAATGGGCTCTCTTGTTTTAGACAATCTCAGACAAAGAAAAATTCTGAATTCGAAGCCAGTCTGAAGAAAGATTAACTCTGTCATATAATCTTGTCCTAGACAAAGAATGTAATCATGCACAGTAAATATATTTCCCCAACGACTCTAATAGCTTACACGACTCGTACAAGAAACATGTTGGATTATTAGACGTTTGTATCTTAGTTTTCAGGAATTCTTTGTATCATAACTCTAAAGTTGAATTTCTCGGTATGTAATTCAGTAGTTCTTGAAAATGTTTATTGATGTTAACAAAATTTGTATCTTTAACAAGAATGTCTTTGAGTTAGGGCTAACCTTTTTCTCTGGTGTTTTTCTTTAGGTTTCTTTGCCGAATTAATATTTACGTGACTATTTCAATAATAAATAGTATAGTAGAATCTTTGTTTTATTGCTTTCTACAACCATCATCAACACGAATGAGAAATTGGTATTGATCTGAGAAGAGCCTTACCCCGTAATCTGCAAATTCAAAGCTTTTGTCTCACAGATTTTAATTCAATCTTCTTTTTTCTGTAGCAACACCGACCATTTTTCATGAATACAAAACATGGCGAAAAACTTCTCAGACTGTCGAGAGCGAAGTAAAATGAATGAATTCAATCCAAAATACTTCATCTAGTCTAAAAATAAAAATAAAAAAAAAAAACAAATTTCTCTAGTCGAAGTCCTAATGAAAAAAAAAAAAAAAAAAAAAAAAAAAAGAAAAAAAAAGAAAGAAAAAGACTAATTTTTTTTTTTACGATTCTCTTTCCCTTTTGGAACCATGATGTTTATACGGTTTTATTTGCTGGGCTCTTTCTCTTTTGTTTTATGTTTATGAGAAAAGATAAAAGACATTTTTGCGCAGGCGTACTAAGCCTGAAATAATCAAATCAAATCCAGCCTACAGTTTCAGTCTATCATTTTTTTTCTTAGTTCTTTGGTAATATTTTCCTATCACATAAAACAGGGAATTACCTGCTGCAAGTGTTGCCTTTTACAAGCGGAAGAGGGAAAAGATAAATAACATATATGACATGAGGCTTGTCTAACTTCCTAATAAATTTGGAAAAGCAAACGGAAGAGTAGAATGAAGAAAGTTATAAAGGTTTAATTTGTATTCAGATAATATGTAGGAGAATAGATTTACTTATTAGCTGAATTTTGATATGAAACTTTCACTGTATAATGCTCGACGTATATGTTAATTAAGAGTGAAAGATAAATTTTTGTTGTGGACAATAAATGATTTTATATCAGTAGGCAACAGATTTAATGTTGCACTTACATTCATTCTATGCTTACGGCCATATCACGTTGAAACATCGGTTCCTGTAAGAACACCGAAATTATATTTGGTTAGTACTGAGATGGATGAATTGCTGTAAGAGTGGATGTGTGGATGGTGCAGTGGATAATGGCTTGGAATTGTTAATTGGAGAGCCGAGTTCCAATTCCTGTTGTATTCGTTATATTCACTTAAGCGCAAATATACTTGGGAAAGGCATGAATCCAATTCTTCTCCAAACAACTATGAGTTAATTAGTAAGACTTGTATCACTAAATCATTAATGTTTAAAAAAAATAAACCATTTTTAAAATCTAAAAATATTGTCTGGTTTCAATTAACCTGCAAAGGGTTGATAAGCCGAAGAAACGAATAAATAAATGACATTTGTTCTAATAACATAATTTAACTTCTATAACATTTAACTGTATGAAAATCCTAAATTACAAGAGGAGAGTTGAACCAACAGAGATTTGGTTTTACAGAAGGATATTGAGAATACCAAAGCAGGAACATTTAACGAGTTAGGATGTTGAGAATACCAAAGCAGGAACATTTAACCAGTTAGGATGTTGAGAATACCAAAGCAGGAACATTTAACCAGTTAGGATATTGAGAATACCATAGGAGGATCATTTAATCAGTTAGGATGTTGAGAATACCAAAGCAGGATCATTTAACCAGTTAGGATGTTAAGAATAACATAGGCGGAACATTTAACAAGTTAGGATGTTGAGAAATCCAAAGCAAGATCATTTAACGAGTTAGGATGTTGAGAATACCAAAGCAGGAACATTTAACCAGTTAGGATGTTGAGAATACCATAGGCGGAACATTTAACCTGTTAGGATGTTGAGAAATCCAAAGCAGGAACATTTAACCAGTTAGGATGTTGAGAATACCATAGGAGGATCATTTAACCAGTTAGGATGTTGAGAAATCCAAAGCAGGATCATTTAACCAGTTAGGATGTTGAGAATACCAAAGCAGGGACATTTAACCAGTTAGGATGTTGAGAATACCATAGGCGGAACATTTAACCAATTAGGATGTTGAGAATACCAAAGCAGGAACATTTAACCAGTTAGGATATTGAGAATACCAAAGCAGGAACATTTAACCAGTTAGGATGTTGAGAATACTATAGGCGGAACATTTAACCAGTTAGGATGTGGAGAATACCAAAGCAGGATCATTTAACCAGTTAGGATGTTGAGAATACCAAAGCAGGAACATTTAACCAGTTAGCATGTTGAGAATACCATAGGAGGATCATTTAACTAGTTAGGATGTTGAGAAATCCAAAGCAGGATCATTTAACCAGTTAGGATGTTGAGAATACCAAAGCAGGATCATTTAACCAGTTAGGATGTTGAGAATACCAAAGCAGGAACATTTAACCAGTTAGCATGTTGAGAATACCAAAGCAGGAACATTTAACCAGTTAGGATGTTGAGAATACTATAGGCGGAACATTTAACCAGTTAGGATGTTGAGAATACCAAAGCAGGATCATTTAACCAGTTAGGGCGTCTTAAGGAAAATAGTAAGCAAAAGTATACTTGTACTTTGAATCAGAAAGAGACAGTTGATATTTCTTTTATACATAATGAGGAAAGTGGGTTTGGAAATTTTACTCTCATAGGCTATATTGAAAGCAAGATGGACCAGAGGGTAACAGTGATTAACCTAACTAACGAGCATGAGAAAATGGATGACAGATGAGGGTGTTGGATGATAAGAGGACAGCCATTAGTGCTACAAAGCAAAGTAGAGAGTCGTGATAAACCGCGTCTTGAAGGGACATAAAATAACATTAAATGTTATTTACTTATATCGCATAAGTTTCTTTTTTTTCCTTTCTTTCTTTCTTTCTTTCTTTCTTTCTTTCTTTCTTTCTTAATGTATCCCTGATTAGTTTTCTTTCTTTTCTTTTCTTTCCTTCTTTCTTTCTTTCTTTCTTTCTTTTTTTGCTTTCATCATATCTTTCTCCTTTGCGTTCATCATTTCTTTCTTTCTTTCTTTCTTTCTTTGCTTTAATCATCTCTTTCTTCTTTCTTTCTTTCTTTCTTTCTTTCTTTCTTTCTTTCTTTCTTTCTTTCAGTCATCCCATTTTTATCTAGACAAATGCTCACCAAAAGTTTTGAGAAGTCTGATTTTCATTAATCCATTGTTAAAATGTTTTCTTAAATATTTAGGCCGGTCAGAAATTTTCTTTCTTTCTTTCTTTCTTTCTTTCTTTCTTTCTTTCTTTCTTTCTCCTTTGCGTTCATCATTTCTTTCTTTCTTTCTTTCTTTCTTTCTTTGCTTTAATCATCTCCTTCTTTCTTTCTTTTCTTTCTTTCTTTCTTTCTTTCTTTCAGTCATCCCATTTTTATCCAGACAAATGTTCACCAAAAGTTTTGAGAATCTGATTTTAATTAATCCATTTTAAAATGCTTTCTTAAATATTTAGGCCGGTCAGAAATTTTGTTTGTTTGTTTGTTTGTTTGTTTGTTTGTTTGTTTGTTTGTTTCTTTCTTTCTTTCTTTCTCCTTTGCGTTCATCATTTCTTTCTTTCTTTCTTTCTTTGCTTTAATCATCTCTTTCTTTCTTTCTTTCTTTCTTTCTTTCTTTCTTTCAGTCATCCCATTTTTATCCTGACAAATGTTCACCAAAAGTTTTGAGAAGTCTGATTTTCATTAATCCATTGTTAAAATGTTTTCTTAAATATTTAGGCCGGTCAGAAATTTTCCTCTTTCGATATTCTATTGTGTCTATAATTTTTTATTTTCCGGTTATATGCGACTAGCAGCATGGCCCGGCATTGCCCGTGATTGATTCAAAAAATCGTACGACTGATACAGCAATCGCTATCACTTGACTTAAAACATTTTTGCCTTTCCTTGTCTTTAAAGGAGTGCCCTTTACCGTACTGATGTTGCTACATGCCTTACTTCTTGCCTATCTAACACAGCGATTTTTTCCAAGCTATATACTAAAAATTAAATCTGTTACAAAAAAAGAACTAAACAAAATGAACACAAAACGATCAGCTTTAAAAAAGGACTCGTAACTGGAAAAACCGAATGAAAAAAGAATGTTAACAACATATACTTTTTCACACCCAACCCAGTCCTGCGGAATCAGAATCAACGTTGAGTTTAAGCAAGCGAATGAGCCAATTGGAGTAAAGTTCCATGCAGATTTAAATTTTCCCCACTTGTGACGAATGCAACTATCGATTTTTTTGCATGCTAGCATGCTAGTTAACATTCGTGTCAGTCAGCTGTTGGCTCTCACGCTGGCCAATAGAATCTTCCTGCCTATTGGTGGCAGCCAGCTATTGGCTCACACTATGGACAGTAAAAATGGCCGCAAACTACATGAAAACTGCCGTAGAAGCATGAAAAAATCGATTATTTCCCTATCGATGGGAGTTGGGAAATGCAAAGTCTACAATTTTCATTTTCCTTACAATTTTTTTTTTCAATTTGATATTAAACGCTTAAAAAATTCTGCATTTATCCATGATTAAAATGTTATATGCGATCTCTTCGGTCGTCGTATTTTCATTTTGCCATTGAGAATTTGTGAGCACTTATTTTTCACAGTTTCTTTCGAATAAGATCGTCGAATTTAAAGGTTCGAATATCGTATATATGATATTTAATAAGAGATTATAAAATTAATATATGATATTTAATATGAGTAGATAGGTTTGCCCATCGCTTGGGTATTATTGAAATATAATTGAAAAATGTACTTTGTCGATTAATATATTATCCCACCAATTTTGTCCAGTTGTGTGTGTAAATAGAGTAAAATACTTTACGGTAAACATATCTAACCGCAAACAACCACACATATATTTGATAGGGTCAATTGACGGTCACAATTACCCCCAAAATGAAAAAGAATCAGTATTTGGCGATGCCGTTTAATTAACCCGTGAATTGACGAATCAAAAACTAGCGAGGTGAGATTTCCTCATAAAAAGGTTTCCCTCTCCAAAATCCCTATGTTAGAATATTCCCAACGTAGGACGTGTATCAAGATAGTCGTTTATCTCTCTCTGTAAACCCTCTCCGCCACTGACAAGTAACCGGCAAAATTGTATTACCGGGTACAATAAAACTGGACAATACAGACTATATAAGTTTTTCTATTTATTACTGCAGAACAGTGCACCTTTGATACATTGGTCTGAAGACAGCCATGGAGACTAAAGCAGCGACTGAATAGAGAGGCCCCACTACGGAACACCGACCGCAGTTGCGTATCACCATTTCGAGCTACATATGATGTTGTGACAATTTCACACCTTTAAAGTAATTCTATGAATATAATTATTGCAATGAAATAGATCCACTGTATATTTCTTCATCTTCGGTCTGTCATGTAAGATCTTTAAGAGTGGAAGAAAACATACATTCCTGACTTCTATTCTTCGGGTATGTTACTTCGTTTTTTAAAGAAGGGAAATTTTTCTATAGCATTACATCAGATCTTGACAGGGTTTTCTCGATATACTAATTTGTTAATGATATGCAATGATGGCAAACTGCCTTTAAGATTGGAAGCGATTTCAATAAAACCATTTATTAAAAGCTGTGCTAACAGGACAAGAGAAAACAACGTGTATGCAAAATAAAAAGCGTAAATAATCAAAACTTCCCGCGCATACTCACCTCCAAACTACCGCGAGTGCAGTATTCTGTAATGAAAGATGGTCTGGCTGGGTCGTTCAAGAAACCGATAAACGGGTTCATATTTTCATGACGGAGTTCCCGAAGCTGTAAGTAAATAAATAAGTAAAACTATATGAACAATATTTATTTAATAAAATGAAATATGATTTCAATTCAATAAAAAAAAAAAAAAATTAGTAAATGATGAGAATAAGAAAAGTCAAGAAACTAAATCTTGACTTTTAATAATCTCTATACGATCTTTCTTAATTTACAGTATATAAAATAATTCAAAGATAAACTAGTGGCGTTTTTGCTATATGTAAACGAAGAATGGAGGGAGGAGGGGAAGCTCAGTGAAAGTACATGATTTCCTTAATTTGAATCATCAAGCGCAAGCAAACAATATATGGTTGTCGGTAAACTAAACAGCCAAACATGCGAATTACAAAATGGAGATACTGTTGGGGCGCACCCACCTTCTGACTAAGAATGGACTGATCCCTCTACGATATAGGACAGTGCTAGAGAGACCAGAGGAGATAGAGATCAGAGAGATCTAGAGATCACGTGACCATTACACTTCCGTCTCTCTACCGGAAGTTACCGTTGGACTTTAGACTCTTGCTAATTGTTATTACTAACCTGCGGTCGTTATTACTAATCACTCTGTTGTTAAATACCTCTTCAAATATACCAGTATTTTCCCGTACATCTGTGTTTGTCTTTATTTGAATACACACACGCGGGAACATTCCCAACATCTCAGCAGATACCAAAATAAATCAATATTTAAATCTCTAAGAAAAGTTTTAACAGAGGACAGAAATAAAACACCGACATCCTAAATCGCATTTGGGTAGAAAAAAGATGCCTTCACAGAAACTAAGTTGGAAAGTTTCATTAGAAACCAAGAAAAACGGACTGAACTGTGATCAGTCCGCCTATATAGCAGTGAATGTTGGGCAATCACAGTTGATGAAGAGACTTGAAGCAAAAGAAATGTCTTTCTACAGAAGGATGTTGAGAATACCATGGACTGAAAGTGTAAGCAACAATAAAGTTTTAGAGAAAACAAGGACACTTATACAGAAAAAGGCAGTTGAAATTTCTACGGCGCATATTAAGAAAAGAGGGTTAGAAAATTTGACACGCACAGGACAAAGTGCACATATCTAACGAGCTTGTGTAAATGGCTGGCAGAACAGGGATTAGAAGATAAAGCAAAAGGAGAAATTTTACTAGGTGATACAAAGACCAGAAGATTGTGGAGAGCCATGATGACCGATGCCTTGAAGAGACACGGAACATAGAACCATAAGAATGGTGGGAGACAGGAAATTTCGAAGAAATTACATGATTTCCTTAATTTAAATAATCTGATTCAAACAATTTTTTTTTTTTTTTTTTTGCAAACACACTCCTTACCGATCTTTGCAACAGGGGTAGGGGTTTATCCCTTGATTACTGTTTAGGGTTGGGTTTCCGGTTCTTTCTAAAGAATTTTGATTTCTCTTCCGGTGGACCCTTGCGTCTTGGTGGCATTATCACTTTGCTTGGCATGGTGCCTTTTACTCTGTAACTCTCTCCTTCGTGGGGGTCTTAGGCGTGAATATAGTAAAAAAAACAAAACAACGTTTGACCGAATTCTTTTGCAAATCGTTTACCCATTTATAACAGTGTAGGGTTTAAAAGTAGCCGATACCCGAACAACGGAAGAGAAGGACTCCTGTATGAATATTAGGCGCAAAATTGTTTATTTAAGATGGCTTAATGATTACTTTTTAAATGTGTTTCGTGGGGCGGTGTAGTAACTTGGTTACGCTTATAATTCTTTAACTAAACACAATGAGAAATGCTTCATTTTGTCATCTCAAATGCATAGCTCACACTTTCGGTTGTTTCTTTTGTCGAAACATATCTTTCTATCAAACCAACCATGAGCGTATTTGGCTAAACTACGTTACTAAATATGCATGGTGCGATGGGTAAATTGTCGTTTTGTTTTAAATTTTGCGCATGCGCGTTGTTTGTTTTTGTTTTTGTCAACTGCACAGTATATTAGGGTCAGTTGCGCCCCGTCTGTAAGTAAAAGACAATTCACTCTGCCAGAAATTTTGAAACGGCATGCTGTACTGATTGGCATTCGCACTGGAAGCTTTATTAAAATAGTGTTTGGGTGACAATCTGAGGACAATACAGAGGATTCGGAAAAAATTGGATGAATCTAATGGTGATTACAAAGATGTTTGGCGTGATCACTAGTTATGGCAGCGTTATGTCCCCATTCATCTTTCCACGGGGCCTAAGACTCAACACGGAGGCTTACATCAAGTGCCTTTGAGGGGGGGTCGGGGTGAGGCTGCCCTGGGTCAAGGGGGTGGCTTCTGGAAGATCCTATATTTGGCAAAAGGTTTTTGCACCATGCCACACAAGCAGGAGAACCCAGTCATGGATGTCCATTTCTGCTACCACACCACCCCTTACATCTAGTCACCTTAGTCGCAGGCTGAAATCCCCTTGATTATCATGTGGATGGCGCAGGTGTGCCAGAGGACAACAAAACTTCTTAGATGAACTGAAGGCAAGGATTATGACAGTACTCGCCAGCTTAAACAAAGAGACTGTCAAGAAGAGTTGCAAAAGATTCCGAAGTCGTCTCGATGTTGTGGAAGAAGACAATGGCGATATTATTAAATAAATTTAGTATTAAAAAATATTTTTTGTGTCATTTTAGTAAATATATCTGTTAAAATGTTAAATTGTTTTCATTTTTGCGTAACTTAGACGACAATTCATCCATCGCACCTTGTATTACATAGATTAGTTATAAATAATTAAAAATATATTAGTTCTATTGTCTATTGTTAATGATTCAACTTTATGACTGTAACATGTGTACTAACGCAGCTTGATCAAAAACGTTTATGGTTAGCATCATCAGGGCATACATTTCTTCAAGTGAGACAGCCT